TCTTTTTCTTACTTCAAGATTAAAAATATTATTTAACTCATATTGAGCTCAATTCAAGTCAGATTCCACTCAAACTTGGGTCAAGGTCTCCTACAAGCTAGGGATTATCCAAGACCTCCCGGGTTCCGCAACTCCTAACGCAGGATTTGGGATTTTACATATAGAATGACAATTTTGGTAATTTTTTAAAAGAGGTTTTGTATGATTAAGAAAAATAATATCAGATAATAAAATATCGATAGGGTCTCATTAAAAATCTCCCTATCCTAATTAGAGGGGAAAGAGTACACCTAATCTATGTAAAGATAATTCGAGTATATTAACATCGGTTGCAACGTACACAGCATCCAAAACAACACAAAACACACAGCAATCTACGAGATCGACATCTTCTCCAAAGCTGCACCAAAGCATTATTGCATACCACATGACACTCACCATAACACAGCACCAAACTCTCGAACCTAATATAATCTGAATAAAATGTGTGATTAAGGTACGGGTTGATTACTAAAATTGAATTTTAAAAATAAAAATATAATTATAAAAATAAATAATATCAACATTAACTTAATAAGATACAATGAATCCTTAATTTTAAATTGTGTCCGATTAATTGTACCTCTTTAGATTTTGAACGAGACATATAAAATATGTATCCAATCTTCGAGGCCTCTCATAATTTTAATAAAAGAAAATCATTTTAATAAATAATAGAAGATAAATATTATTTTAATATTTAATTATAAGAGAGCAAACACATGATCGGTTGATTAAGTTATCCATTTTATTATATTTTCTTAAATTATTAGTTTTAGACTAACTAATATCACTCTTCTTCTTCTTCTTCTTCTTTTTTCCAAGCCTCATTTTCCCCTTAAGCTCAATTAGAATTAAATTTAGAATTCATAAAAAATATTTAATTATAAGAATTGACATATTCCGGTAAATAGCCGCATTAACCGGTTATGGAGATTAGAGAATGCAAAATTGTTGGTTCGTAATTTTTACTTTTTAAGTCCTTTGATGATATAATATTATGAGAATATGATTAGTGGCATCATATTAAAATATTAATTAATACGTTGATTAAAAACTATTTTGTTAAAGATAAAATTCAAAGATAAGCATTTTTAAAAATATATGTTATTATTTTATCTCGTTGGTTTAATGATATCTTCATTTATCTTTTAAAAATCAAAATGAAAAAATTGTCTTTGTTTAAATTCTCAAATAATAAAAACATGATAATTATTCAATACATTATTATTCGAATAAAAAATTATGAGCTTAGAGTATTTTCATATATTTTAAAATATAATTTTTACTTATTTATTAAACATTTATTATTCGAATAAAAAATTATGAGCTTAGAGTATTTTCATATATCTTTTAAAATATAATTTACTTATTATTAAACATTTATATATATATAGTAAACTATCATTATATTATATTAGTTATAATTTAAAACATAGAACTTTATATTATATTTTTTACTTGATGAGTTACCCATTTGTAGAGCCATCTTCTACTGTTTTTACCCTACTTTTGTACATGTGGTGGGTTGTTTAAAAAATGTCCATTAATATTGTTTTTAAAACTTTAGATTTTGATACTCCAAAAAGTATTAAATTATTTTAAAATTTATAATTATCATTTAACATTTTAAATATGGGTTGAACTTTATTTTCAAATAAACTAATATATATTATATGAAATTGATCAAAAAAATTATCGAGTTATATATAAATTAATTTTTTAATTATTTTAATCTGTAAAATAATTATTAAACAAATGCATGAATGTATATAATACAATTTAATTACATAATATATTTTAAAAGGATAATATTTATAAATATATTTTTATGGAAAAATTATTGATTCATATTAAATATTAATTCGATAAATAATTATTTATACGTAAAATATTTATAATGAATATTTGTACCAGATATCTATAAAATAAGAATATATATAATTATTTATATGTATGAGTATGACAAATATCATACTAATTTATAAAATTTTGGTACAAGATTTTCAGTAAGTACATAATTTTTGAAATAAATAATATTGTGTATATTTTTATTTTTAAAATTATGATAATTATAATTTAAAATTTGATCTATATAATTTATCCAAAATAAAAAAATGACTCGACGTATATATATATATATGTATGTATAAAATTATCAAGTAACTCGTGCATCACAATAATATATAAACTAGTTCATGTATAAATAAGTATAAAATGGGTTGATTTTTTAGTTAATTATTTAATATAAAGATTATATAAAAAAATAACATAATAAAAATATTTTAATATTATTAACTTTAATTTAATATAATAATAATAAGTCAATAAGTTAACTACTACCAAACTAAGTCACGTTTTTTGTATGAATAGTTAGACTAACTAAAAAGTAGTATTTATATAAATACCTTTTAACTATTAACAACGTATATAAACTCTATCTAATTACTTAAATTCAAATTTTTATTAAAAAAAAATTTATTTTAATCATTAAATTTAATTGATGAATTTAACTAAATTACGATCTAATTATTAGGTTATATAATATTATTATCTTCCACACTGCCATAATACATTAAAACTTTTTAATGAGTCCGTAATTAACAGAGAATATAAAATTGTAATTACATCCAACTATAAGGGTACTTCTTGTAATCCCTTTTATAAAATCCTCCACCTCCTAAACTTGAGATGTATTTTGGTCAACTCTTTCAATTCTCAAGGCAAAAAAAGTACAAGGCTTTTGATTTTCCAGTAAAATGTCGGCGGAGCTTAGAAATTGCGTCAAAATCCGCCACATTGTGAGGCTTCGACAAATTTTACAGCGGTGGAGGAAAAAGGCTCGCATGTCAGCCGGCCGCACCCCGTCCGATGTGCCGTCGGGTCACGTGGCGGTCTGCGTCGGGGCCAGTTGCAGGCGATTCGTGGTGCGGGCGACGTACCTGAACCATCCCGTCTTCAAGAAACTCCTTATCCAAGCCGAGGAAGAGTACGGGTTCACCAACCAAGGCCCATTGGCGATCCATGCGACGAGTCCGTTTTCGAAGAAGTGATCCAGTCATTTCCATGTCTGAGTCGGATCGGTCTTCCGGGTTCGTCAACGTCGATGACTTTAAACGGAATTGCCACATGGGAATCAGAAGTAAGCTTGATTTGACGACCGAATCCCGACCATTACTTCGAGGCTCAGCTGGCAACTAGATCAAAAAGAGAGAGGCTTCGATTCTTGGGGGGTTTTTTTTTTACTGAGTTTCGATTTAGCTCGAGTGAATTGTTAACTGAAAGCAGTGAGTTTACCGAGTTGATAGTAGTTGAGACTGTGGTCAATCCTCGGTATTTTACTTACCATATTTAAAAGGGTAAGTTGGTGGTTTTTTTTAGTAATAAATTTTCCCCTTAATTTGTTTTTTTTGTAAGCAATTGGTTATAATTGGGGGGGGGGGGCAAATGAGCCGAGTCAGTATATTAGCTCCGGCAAATGCATGGAGATGGCCAAGAATCTGGTGAGTTATTCAGCGAGTCGTCTCTTGCTCGGCATAAAACTGATGTCAGTCAACTGAATTCAAGCTGAATCTACATAAATTTCCTTTGATATATTTGAACCCAGTTTTGTGTACAAGTAGTTCGGACTTAGTTATTTCGAATCAATATCAACTTCAAAGATATCATTTGCACATCTACCATGAAAATATCAAATCGTGAACTATTTTTATTTTGACACAAGAAAAAAATTAATTTACTTTTTTTAAAGTTTCAGCATCGAGTTAAATATAGACGTATTTGTATAAATCACAATACATTACCAATTAGATATATTCATGCATTGTATGATATTTCTTTATATATTTAAAGATACTCCTATGGTTTATTCAAATTCTAATAGAGTATAATTAATGTCTTTTCATCCATCGTCTTTGGATTTAAAGAAGTATTATTTGACTCGATGTTCGACCCGATTTTAGGTAAAACTCACAGATGAGTTTGTTCCGCTCGACGAGCACCGCTGAGTACCACTAAAAATGAGTGCCATTAATTATATTTATAAATATTCAAAATTCTAAAATACTCAATGTATAATTTTAAATTAGTTAAAATTCTAAAGATAAATTATTTAAAATAAAATATTAATTACATTATTTTCCATAATTTTTTAACAATAAAAAATTATTTGAAAAAATGTTGAAAAAATTATGAAAAATAATTTAATTAATATTTTTATTTTAAATAATTTATCTTTAAATTTTTAACTAATTTATAATTATACGTTGAGTCTAAAATACTCAATGTATAATTTTAAATTAGTTAAAATTCTAAAGATAAATTATTTAAAATAAATATTAATTACATTATTTCCATAATTTTTTAACAATAAAAAATTATTGAAAAAAGTTGAAAAATTATGAAAAATAATTTAATTAATATTTTTATTTTAAATAATTTATCTTTAAATTTTTAACTAATTTATAATTATACGTTGAGTCTTTTAGAATTTTAAATTTTTATAAATTAAATTAATGAGACTCAACGGTACTCATCGTTAGTGATATTTAACAGTACTCGTCAAACGTTATAGAATTTTCCATAACACTCACGATTTAATATATATATATATATATATATATATATATTAAGTAAAATAAGTACATAATTAACAAAATATCGAAAGTAATATTAGAACATAATATTAAGTAAAATAAAACTCCTGATCTTGACGGCAGCCTAGCCCGGCCCAGACCTCAGAGGGATAGATTTGTCCACAAATAACGATGAAAGCCCTAATTCTCTCTTTAAATCTCCCTGACCGTACACAAGACGACTAACTCATTCACGACGGCCGCGAATTCTGAAGGAATGATTCATCCCTGGGTTTTACTACTTGGTATTATTTCTATTAGTTATCGTTTCTGCGGTTTTGGTTTTTGAATTTCCATTGGCTTGAAAAACGGCGGAAAGTGAAATGAAAATCAGCTGATGAGGACTGGATTTCAATTTCTCTCGACGGTCGTCTGAGACCTCTATGTGTGGTGTCTGATGCATTGATCCAATTTTCTGATGATTTTTTTTTTTAATTTTTCATCCCTTTCCCCCCTGAAACTGAAAGAGATTCTCTGTTTTGTCATATTTTTACAGGCTATATTACTTGATTTTCACAATGAGCAAAGTTTGAATGATATACAGATTGAGATCGGCAGATCTTTGAAATTCTCAAGTCCCTTTCATGCTTGGTGCTTTGTTTTAAATTTTAATTTAAGTTTTTAATCGATTCTTAAGTTTTGTTTACATGTAGTACTAATCATGATTCTCGTAAAATTAAATGCTAATATCTTGGTATAGGTCACTTCAGGGAAAACCAATTAACAACGGGTGTAGTATTTGCATTGCCCATTTTAATTAATCTTTCAACCGGACTTCAACAACGTTGTTTTGATTTAATAGGTAAAAGTTGAGAAGTTTAAAATTGAAGTCATAAAATTTTTATAAGGTGGGTACAAGAACGATTAAGATTTTGAGTGGGCATAAATAAAATTTTAAAGTAAATATTATTAATAAAATAATAAATTAATTAAATAAAATTTGAATTTCAGAAAAGCACGTGACCAATATGAATTATATGTGGCTTCGCCATCGGCTACATGTGATTAAAGTATAATCACCCACAAATTATCAACTTTATATATAAAGATATTTGATGATGATTAATTAATATCGATATTCATGTTTAGTATTGATAAAAAAGAGTGCTGAAATCAACATTGACACGTGTAGATACTTTACAAAATTAACCCAAAAAAAAATGTTGAAAGTGCATTTAAACTCTATTCCCATATGGCCTAACACATTTGAGCATAGAAAAATAATTTATATGCACAACAAAAAGCAAGATGTATTTTTCCTTAGCAAGCAAATCACATACAAAATTATAATATATCGTAGTCTAACTAAACATAAGGTAATTTATCTAATATCATTTTCTACTTAAACTTCAATTTACCTAATAGCAACTGTTGTGAAAACGAGTTAATTAACTCATGAAATCAACAAGTAGTCAAGTAAATAAAGAACACAATATTTAACAAGGTTCGGCAATGTGCCTACGTCTTCGGGAGCGATGAGCGACTGTTCTCTTAATTATGCGCAATAATCCAAAATTATGTTACAATTATAGTATATAAGAGTAACCCCAGTACAACTACAAAAATACCTTATGTTACAGAAGGTTCATACTAGTGAGAATATCCTTCCATGCATACTCGGGAAATAGGTTACGCTCCGGCATTTGTCCTCTAATTGGTATATGAGTCATACCTAACAATCTCTACCTAGGCGAATATCCTACCCTTAGGGGTGAAATAGAAAACCGGAAGTTTATCAAACATCAAAGTGGGTTGGGCTACCATGCTTCTCTGGCAACTTTAAACATTCAACAAGTCCAAGCAATGCATGAACTTGTCAGTAGTAACTGACTTGGTCAACATATCAGATGTATTCTCACTAGTATGAACCTTCTATAACAATATCTCTCCAGATAGAACCAGCTCTCTAATCTTGTGAAACCTCACATCAATATGCTTAGTTCTAGCATGATACACCTGTTCTTAGCCAAATGAATAGCACTTTGGCTGTCACAATGCAACTGAACTCCACCATGCTGAACAACTATTCCTTTACTAGCCCAGTAAGCCATAAAGCTTATTTTGCAGCTTCAGTTGCTTCCATGTATTCTGCTTCAGTCGTAGACAATGCCACAATAGACTGAACAATTGACTTCTAACATATAGGCCCTCCACCAAGAGTAAAAACATACCAGTTATAGATCTTCTATCATCCAAGTCACCTGCATAGTCTGAATCCACATATACACAACCAAAGGAATATCTTGCTGACTACCAAAAACATTACATTTCCTACAGTTCCCTCCCACTAAAAATCCACTTGACTGCTTCCTATTGTCGCCTACCTGGTTTAGACATGTATTTACAAACTTGAAACAACATGAGCTAAATCAGGCGAGTAATATCATTGCATACATCAAGCAACCATCAACACTGACATATGGAACCTTTGCCATGTTAACAACTTCCTTATTTGTCTTAAGGCATTGTTCTGAAAGAAGCTTAAAATGATTTGTTAATGAGTGCTTACCGACTTTGCATTGTCATACCAAACCTGTCTAAAACTTCTCAACATAGCCCTACTGAGATAACCACAGTTTCCTTGAGCCTCTATCCCTGTGAATATTCATTCCAAGAATTTTCTTTGCAACACCTAGTCTTTCATATCAAATTCCTGGCTTAATAAAGCTTTCAAACCAACAACATCATGCATATTCTTTGCAGCAGTTAACATATCATCAACATACAACAGCTTAAAATAAAGAACCATCATCAAGGCTCCAACATAAACACAACAATCATACTCATATCGCTTGTATCCAATTTTAATCATATAGGAGTTGAACCGTTTATACCATTATCTTGGAGACTGTTTCAACCCATATAAGGATTTCTTCAACTGCAAACCAAATGCTCATGTCTAGGTTGAGTGAACCATTCTGGCTACTATATAGAAATATGCTCCTCTAAATCACCATGCAAAAAGACAGTCTTGACATCTATATGATCTAAATGAAAATCCCAACTAGCTACTAATGTAAGTACAACCCTGATTGAAGTATGGCTAACCACACGAGAAAAGATTTCATATAATCTACTCCCTTCTGCTATAAAAAACTCTTTGCTACCAATCGACCCTTTTTCCCCTTCTTTTTATGATACTATTAGTTTTCTTTTATAAACTCATTTGCGACCAATAACCTTCTTTCCCTCAGGAAGAAAAACTTGTTCCCATGTATGATTTTTCTGTAAAGACTCCATCTCCTCAACCATTGCATCCATCCATTTTCCTTTCTCGTGACTAGTAATAGCTCCTTGGAAAGTAGTTGGATCACTACTAATGTGAAGTGCAAAGAAGACCATGTCTTCAAAACACAATTTGTTTGGATCTTTTATTCTTACGTCTCTCTATCTCGGCTAGTTTATAATATTGCAAATCAACTGTACTAGAACCATAAGAAGTTGGAATAGAACTTTCCTATCTCTCAACTACTATTGGATACTGTTCTACATCAATCACTGCCTTGTCTTGGTTTTGCTGCAATATGAACTGCTCATCAAAGACCACATCTCTACTAATTACCACTTTCTTTGTAATTGAATCCAAAACTTGTACCTTTGACATCTTTCTTGTACCCCTAGAAAAATGCACTTTTTCAACTTTGCATCAAGCTTTGATCTCGCATTAATAGGTACATACACATAAGTAGGAAAACAAAAAATTTGTATGTGACCTAAATCAACTGCATTACATGTTCATACCTCTTCTGCAACCTTGCCACCCAATGATGCTTTCAGTGATATGCTAATGAAGTAGCATGCCATGCTCACAACCTATGCCCAGAAGCTTTTAGGAATCCCTACATTCAGTTTCAAACATCTTGCCCTTTCATTCAATGACATGTTCATCCTTTCTGCAACACCATTTTGTTGTGGTGTCTTGTGCACTGTAAAATGCCTCTGAAGCCCATGCTCCTCATAAAATTTATGAAACTATGAAACTGTGTACTTTGTGCCATTATCAGTCCTCAAATACTTGAGCTTTCTACTAGTTTAGTTCTCCACCTCAACTTTCCACAACTTGAACTTTACAAAAACTTCAGATTTCTGTTTCGTGAAGTACATCCAAACTTTCCTAGAAAAATCATCAATAATGCAACATAATACATACATCTGACTAATGATGATTTTATGGTAGGCCCCATAAATCAGAATGTATATAATCAAGAATCCCTTCAGTTTTGTGCTTTCCAATCTTGAAACTAACTCTAGTATGTTTACCAAGAACACAAAACTTGCAAAAATCAAGTTTGCATCTTTTAACACCATGCAACAGATTTCTTTTATGCAATTCAGCCATTCCACATTCATTAAGATAAGCAAGATTCATATGCCATAGTTTTGTTATCATATGACTCAACAGAATGAACTCCACCTACAACTGTACTCCTTAACAATTTATAGATATTCCCTGCAGTTAACTTTCCTTTCATCACATTCAATGCACCTTTAATAACTCTAATGGTATGCCTATCCTCATCTTCCTTAGGAATAAAACCATTCTTATGCAAAGTGCCTAAAGAAATCATATTCTTCTTCAAATCTGATATATGTCTAACATCACATAATGTCCTAACAGTACCATCATACATCTTAATTATAGCTTCTCCAATACCAAAAGTATTGCAACATATGTCATCACCCAAATAGATAGAACCAGAATTAACGGACATGTATGTTGAAAACCACTCCCTATTAGGCGTTATATGATAAGAACATCTTGAATCAAGAATCCATGCATCTGTCAACTGAGTTGTTGAAATAAAAAGCATATCACCATCACTGCAATCTGAATTTTCATCCCGCACCACATTCACAGACTTGGATGATTCCTCACATTTTTCAATACTTTTCTTTTTCCATTTTGGACAGTTTCTCTTCATACGCAATGACTTATTGCACTTGTAGCAATGAATTATCTTTTTGCTCCTAGACTTTAATCTGGAATTTCTTTTTCCAGACCCATCATTCACTGATTTTCTTCCACTCTCTTAATTACCCTTAATATATAAACTATCAACATGAGAGCTTTCCCCTGCATTATGCTTCTGCTGGTTGTGAGCCAGCAAGGCCGCAGTAATCTCTTCAATATTGATTATTTCTTTCCCATATGTAAGAGTAGTCACCATGTGTTCGTAAGATGAAGGAAATGAACATAACATAATCATTGTTATGTATTCATCCTTAATCTTCACATCAAGTTGAAACAAATCTGTAATTATTTCATTGAAGACATTCACGTGCTCTGCCAAATCCTGACCTTCCTACATCTTCAATCCATACAACCTTTACTTTAGATAAAATTTATTCGTTAGGGATTTGGACATAAATTGACTTCTCAATTTCTTCCATATTTCTCATGGAGACGACAGACTCATTATCTGATACATAACCTCATTTGCCAAACATAACCGTATGGTTCCTACCTCTCACTACTGCAATTCTTTCTAATCATCGTCATTCATTGATTCTGGGTTTTAAGGTCGTAGAGCCTTCAAAATCATTTAATGCACCAACAAATCCTTTACCCTCGATTGCCATAATTCAAAGTTACCATAATCATTAAACTTCACCACTTTAAATTTCGCACCTGACATAACCATCTTAAACTTTGCTCTGATACCAATTGTTGTGAAAATGGGCTAATTAACTCAAGAAATCAACAAGCAGTAAAGCAAATAAAGAACATAATATTTAATGAGGTTCGACAACGTGCCTATGTCCTCGTGAGTGATGAGCGATTGTTCTCTTTATTATTTACAATAATCCAAAATTAGGTTACAATTACAATATATAAGAATAACCCCGTTAGAATTACAAAAATATCGTTCGCTTTGCTTACTTCGCTCAACTCCGCTCCAGCATCTATCATCCAACTAGTATTTGAGTCATACCTAACATCAATATTCATACCAAACAAGCATTCATCATTTACAACATTCAACAAAAGCTATTTTTCATGCTATAACTAATACATCAACTATATACCATACTTATGTGATCATACATTACCATCTCTAATTTATATACAAAACAAAATTACATATCAAATGATTACAAAAATGACATAAAAACATTGAGCTAATATTTTCAAATGTCAACTAAAGGTGCGAAAAATATTTTACAAAAGTATTTTACACAAGGGTTGTGATACAAAAGAAAGAGAACAAAAAATTACAAAGAAAAACCTAATAGAACTAAGATGGAGATGAGAGTGACTGTGGAAAAGGTGATTCTAAAGGTGATACAAAAGGTGATACCCTCGCCTCTCCTTTTATGGACTCTATTACCAAGCTACTTTCAATTTAACTTGAAGTCTGCCTTGGTAGTCTTCCAAGTGTTGGTTTTTTTTTGTCTTCTTGTGGTAGCTTCCACGTCTTGTACTTTTCTCCTAGTGATGGCTTTCAAGTCTTGTACTTTTATTTATTATTTTCTTCATTCTCTTTAATGCTCTGACAGTTTTTATACTTCTAGCATGTTGTCCAAATTCATGGTCTCGATTTCGTCCAAGTGTAAAGATTGTGGTGACAATGGTAGTGAGTTCTAATTGTCACATGACCATTTTATTCCTTCGAGTATATTGTTTGGGTAGTCCTCAATTTCCATGTTATATATTTTTGTAATAGCTTTATGGCTTCACTGTCTGTTGTTTACCCATATAATTTTGATGTACAAATATTCTTTGACCATCGATCCAAAAGGTTGGAAAATCTTTCAAATGATAAAAAAAAGTTTTGAACTATTTCTCTAATAAAAACCAAAATTTTATATCAAACGGTTCATGATCCAGTCTAAATTTAATTACTGGATTTTTTCTCCAATATATTTGTATAGACACAAGCTTGTAGGAAATATTCAGAAAAACTTTTGAATAGAGCTTGTTGGTTGCAAATTGGTATCTATTTTCAAAAATATTTCTCTCGATAATATTATTCTAGCTTTATTATATAACACATCTATATATTTACTAAAATAGGATTTGTCGTTCCTTTATCAAGAAAATATTGACATGTTTCAAGAAGATTATTTATCTCATCATCTTTCAAAAACCTATTCTAATTCTTCCCAATCTCTATAGATTATGGTGTTTAGTAATAATTATTCATCCTTATTTTCTTTAGTTGTTTCTTCAACTAAAGTTTCAGAAAGTTTAGAAAGAGATCTTCTAAAATTTGTTCTTTTATTAGTGATATGGGTTTTCCATACCTCATTAATCAAATTATATATTTTTGTTTCTAAATCGGGATTATAAAAATATTTTTTTTTTTTTTGGTTTCTGACCGTTGTGGTTTCAACAGTGCTTCAGCTTTTTTTTTTTATAATTTTAGCATAGCTTTCTTGATATACTAAATTTGGATCTTGTGACACTGCAGTTGATTTACTGAAGGTGTCATTGAAAATTGTTTTATAGCTCCTTTCAGATATGAAATATAATATCATTGGTTAGGATAATACATTATCGGATGTTGTACTAGTACAAATCCTTGGTTAGGATTTTGTTGTCTCAGAATCCTTTTGTTGGGTTTTTTCCGAACGGTTGTCCATTCTCTTACTTTTTCTAGAGGCTTTTTTCCTCTATCCATTAGGTCTGCTAAGAAAATCAACAATAACATTGTTAGTGCTTTTAATATATAAAACTTTAAATTAAATTTACATAATTTATAAAAGGGGTTTTTCTTCTTGGTACTGTCTCTATTTTTTTAATGGTGAGAAATTGTTTAACTACTTGGTTATCAATTTTTATTACAAATTTCTGAGGTGCTAACTAAATCGGAAATTTTTGTATACCATTTTTTATGGCTAACATATATTTTTCAAAAATTACATAATTAATTTCATTTGGTTTAAATTTACTTGATGCATATCCACATATTAATTCTTGATTATCCATTGTTTTGGCTTTTAAAACACATCCCCAATGTTTTTTTGAGGCATCTGTTTCTAATATTAATTTATCACCTTGTTTAGGTAGATAAACTTTTGGAACATCCGTTATTTCAGATTTTAGTTTTCTCACTATTTCCAAATTTTGTTTAGTCTAGTAAAAGGGTACATCATTTTTTTAATTTATTGTATAACATACTATTTTTCTCAGATAATCTTGGAAAAAAGGTTTCTTCTATAATTAGCTATTCCTAAACATTGTTTGTCACACCCCAATGTTAATTTTAAAATATAATTAATTTAGTTAAGGGACCAAAATAGATTGTTTAGAAAAATGTTGGGTTAATTTCAAAAATCTAGAAAACTTAAGGACTTAGCCCTGAATTAAACCATTTTAGACAATTTTCAGGATTGTACTAGTAAAATATAATATCTCGCAACCGATGATGCATGTTGTCACCCTCAGCTGACTCGCCGTCGACCAGCGACCATAACCCAAGCATCCCCGTAGTGTGATTCGACGTCAATCAGATCGAATTGAAGCTTGAATCACCATCGAAACCCCCACCCGCCGCTTGGTTTTTCGGTAATTCTGGTCCCCTCGACCATCATTGTGCCTCACCGTCATTGCCACTGTGTTTTGACCTTATTTGTTTATTTTCGATGAATTTAGTTGGTTTTGAGCGTTGATGTTGTTTGGATTTGATTTTTGGTTGATCGTGGAGTAGTCGGCTTCCGTCCCCTAACCCGTCACTATTGTCACGCGCCGGTAGTGCGCGTAGGGTTTCCCCTCCAGCCGTGGCTTCTTCTAGAACAATCCAAGTGGACTGAACCGGCCTGAACTAGTTTAAACTGACCCACGTCAAACTAAACTGATATGACCCATTGACCTTAACCTGAACCATTGACCTTAACCTAACCATTGACTTTTAGCAGATCTGTTAACTTTGACTTTGACCTTTGACAATTTCGACCGCTGACTTTGACAAAAAAAGTCAAAATTTATGAAAAGTCAAAATTTATGAAAAGTCATATTTTATGTTTTTTAACGTCCTGAGTTCGAATCCGAAGTCCGTTTTTCCAAATTCAAACCCAGTAAGCTACTTTTCAGCATTTTACCTTCTGATTCGATCCGTTTTCTACAATTAAGTTCTATTTCTGATGTAATTCATTTTGTATGTATACGAGATATTATTGGACATTGGTTCAAGTTTGAGAGCATTCAAGTTTGAGAGCGATCAAGTGGAGTCTAAATGTTTCGACCCGTATACATGAACCATTATGAGTTACAAATTTGACATCAAAAATTCAAAACATTTCTGTAATTGAACTGAGTAAAATTTTGTTTCATTCAAACATCACTAGTTTCATAACTTGAAATATTATTATAAAATAATTATTCATCGTAATATAATATTGTTGGTAACCAATTCAAAACCAGTTTGAAGTAGTGATAGACAATTTTGTTCTATTTTCATAAAATAAATAAGATTGTCTAACACATTTGATTTAAAACCCAAATTAATTTTTTCTAAGCATAGTTTAATATCATAATATTTATTCATACTATTAGTAATATTTAATACTAACTATATTAAGAAACTTCAGACATTTCATTATCGTATACATGCCAGCTAAGACTTTTAGAACACAGTAGGATGTCTTCAATGATACTTGTAAATATTTCATTGGTGATTGATGCCAAGCTCAGCTCCTTACTCATTTTCTTCCTTTTTCCTAAGCGTGAAAATCATCACACGCTAAGTATACACTTAGTGACGGAATTATATAAATATTCAAAGCAATGCAACATATAAATATAAATGAGTAATAATATTCAATGCAATGTGATCATTTTACCTGTATTCCAACCATGTTACCTTAAATTAACATGATCTAACCGGAAATAAAGTTTCTTACCAATATACTTTCCATTTATCCCATAAGCTCGTAAGCTTATTTGCATGTTTATCATTTATTAACCAATAAATCATAGCCCAATTTAACCCCTGAGGACCCTGAGTATTCGAGTCAAATATATGCACCATAGTTCTTACACATAAGATCGTGCCCACCATATGCACTGAAGTGCTTACACATAAGGTCGTGCCTACCAAATACATCGAAGTGCATTAAACATAAGGTCGTGGCCACCATATGCACCGAAGTACATTACACATAAGGTTGTGCCCACCATATGCACCGAAATGCTTAATCGATATGCAACTGTTGTTAGACTCTATAGCATGCCAACTATACCCTGTCCCTCAATGACTTACTTGGGCATATATTCTATTTTTTCCATCCATGGAAAAGTATATTATCATAATTTAACATCATTCATGATAATTATCATATATGTAACGATCAGTGATCAATGCATTTTATATTCAACCTTTGACATATTTAGAATATGTCAAATATATGATATATGACATAAATATAATGTCAATTACCCAATGATGTATAAAACATCCATGTATAATGTTATGTATATATTGCACTCACTTTAACATTATATAAAAGTCAAAATATAAGCCTCACTAAGCTTTAACTTGATCATTTGGTTCTAATTCGGTTAAATCCAAAAACTTGTCATAATATCATATTATGGCAGTTTGCACTACCTTTAAAGAAATATTATTACGTATTAATATACATACTAAAAAATTATTCCGTTTACACCAAAAGAAACTAGACTCAAATAAAAATCTATCCATATAAGGAAATCATTCTAGTTCAATTTGTACAATTTATGCTAAATTTTCAAAGTTGACCAACATAATCTATTTTGAGCAGAATCTGCTACCCCATTTTCTGACCTATCCTCAGTTAAAAATTCATATCTTTTGGTATACATCTTGAAATCATTTTTCATTTGTTCTAAACAAAACTAGACTGATATAAAAATCCAAAGGTATAAAAATCATCCTCTAATCATTTTTTTAGAATGTATGGTAATTTTCTAAACTTACTATTCAGAACATAAATTCTAAGCAGGTTTCACCAATTTGCATTTTCGACTTGTTCACTAATTTCATTAGCTCACCAAATTCACATATATGCATGCATAAAAAATCACATAAAATTTTAGGAGTCACTTCTTACCATTGTATCTCCGTCACTGGCTCATCGCAAGCCAATGTTTGTTCGATAATATAAGTACAAATTAAATTTGCACTCACCCGATGTCCTTAGCTTGTAAACATCTTTAGAATTTTTCATTTCATCCTTAAACTTCTCCTTAGCTTTAAAAATATTTGATCTTGATTTCAATCACTCAATCTAAATGAACATCATTACCAAACATATACAAAGTCAAACCAAATGTTAGAATCTTACTAACATAGGCATACTTTGGAAAATAAA